CAACCTGGCCTTGAACGTCTCCAGGGATGGAGCATCCACCACCTCTCTGGGCAAACTTCCGTCAATTTCACTCAAACTTCCGTCAATTCAAGAGTTCCTTGAATAAGTAACAGCAGCTAGGATGCTACAGAGCCATGCATGCTTTCTAAGATGAGACTGTTTGCCTTCAGAAAACTTATCAGTGCATCAGAAAGGTCATTTCTAAGCAGGGAAACCAAGGCTTTCAGCAATGACTCTCCAAGGAGTCCGTTTGCCACGTAGTGCTAGACCCTCAGTAGAAAACTCTAAGTTTCTCAGCTCACTTGGCCTCATTACTATAAAGGACAGCAATTTTAAGCAACCTTCATGATGGGAAGGGTGAGAGAAAGAAAAGGGGAATTTAAGTTGTGATGCTGCATTCCTGTTCGCTACTGGAAACACCAAAGAAAGAAACGGAGAGTCTGACAGGTAAACGAGGGGGAAAATGAGTCAAAGAAACCTCTGTTGCTGAGGAAGAAATCAATTTGTATTTTTCCCTGAGATGCTTTACAATTTATTAGTGTTTAATGCCTGAGCTGCTGGGAGGGGGGGAAAATGTGAAGATGATGAGCACATTAGCTATGTTGTTTGATTTTAATTTGATTCAGAGAGATGAACGTCAAACCCATTATCACAGGCATCACACAAGATGATCAGCAAGAAGCTGAAGTGTGTCAGTGGTCCGGGGAGGGGAACGGAGAGGCACGAAGAAGCCAGCTATGATGATGTACTACTTTGGGCAGATCCAAGATAGCTAAACTACTTATGGGTCTGTACCCCTGCTCAGATAACCCCAGCTCAGCCATTTGTGATCAAAGAACGTGCTTGGCCTCTCTCCAAGCCACGGAAAGAATGGTGCCCACGTGCCTGACCCTGCAGCTCTGCTCTCCACCTCCAGCTGCTTTAGGCTTTTGACTACTCCACCTTGAGAGAACTTGCCCTAAGCGTGCATCACTGGATGGGGGACGCTTTGGGAGAGAGAACTCCTCGTTTGTGTAAAAACAAGAGTAAACACCATCAGATCCTGGCCAGGCAGATCAAAACCAAGGACAACTTGCTCTCTTACTCTTGCTTTCCATGCAGTAAGCGCTGAAGAGTGTGCAGCTCTGAATTAGCATGCAGGAGGGAGGAGGTCATCTGAACTGATTTCATCAAAACCTCTGCTTTCCTCAAGTCTTTAACGATTACTATGAGAACTACAGTTGTTTTACAATAATTAGGCAGAAATTCAAGAGAACAGATCTCTGGATACTCTAAAATCCAAACCATGCTTCACTTCGCCCCTGGAGAAGGCTCCGGCTGCCCCGGCCGCCTGTCCCCACTTCACAGTGATGGGCGCGTAAACGCTTGGCTGAACCACGGATAACCCCACGGAGCGCGGGGGTGAGAAAGCCCTTCTGTTTTCCCACTACTCTGTGCATCACTTTCCATTTCCTGCTTCAAAATCTCTAAGTGGGACTCGCCCAACGCGACGCAAGCTGTTACTGAAGGGATCAAGGGGCACAAGTTTGACAGCAGGAGACGCACGCGGAGAGGAAGGGCTTCACGGAGCTGCCAGACGAGCGTTCAGCTGCTTACACCAAGGAAGGTGCTAAAACGCCAGCGGGAAAAATTGCTCGGGTATAAATCTCAAGAACTCACTGTGTAGTCGGGGCATGATTCAATGAGATACTTCCGAGACTTATCCTGGGACGTGCGAGGGTTGAGGCTGAGTGAAAACGGAAGGTCTGGATACGAAGTACCCACAGGAGCCCAAGAGCCCTGCCAGTCCACTGCTACCAAAATCCTAATCTGTGATATCTCCTGTTCAGACAAAGTGTGTAGTGACCCGCGGATGCCAAAAGCAGTTCAGGACACTTTGAGACATCGCTGTGTTTTTGACCGTTATCTTGGGAGCAACTTGAGGACATGTCCGGAACACAACTGTACTCACCTTGGTAGACAAAATGAAAACCTTTGGCTGTAGACTGACCCTTGGAACTAAATTTGATGAGAACCTGGTTGGTGGTAGCCAATGGTAACGATTCACCTGGATGAGGAGAAAGAGAGAAACAGGAGACACCAAGATTACAGTATTAGCTACACGAAGGGGTGGCACAGCCCGAGGTGGTAACTGGGAGGCTCTGTTTTTAGCTTGCTTTTCCCCAGGAGCAAGAGGGACACGTTCCCCACCTGTATGAGAGCCTGAGAGGGAGCTGAGGAGCCGCGAGTGCTGGTTGGGACCATCGTGGACTTCGACAACGTCGTTGAGCGCGGTCTGGAAGAAGGCGAACTGCCCGAAGACCACTGCGAAGAGAGACAGCACTGGTCAGGGCGGGGAACTCCTATCCCACACATCCAGGGCCTGGAGCCCAGGCATTCCAGTTCCTTTTATCTCAGGAGCTTGGCAAAGATAAAAAGGGCCTGACTGACAGCCCTGGAAGATGGGAGCCCTTTATTTATCCACAAAGAAGCAGCAACCAGCCTCCCCCGTGTTCACTTGCCAGTGAGCTTTAACACTGATTCATAGGCCAAAAGGGATTCTTATGAATCATCCCATCCGCCTGCCTACGCAACACAAGGTATATAATTTCATCAACTGATAATTATTATTTATTATTTGCATGGAACCTCTGTCATGACGCGGGCTCCTGTTGGGTTCGGCACTGTACAAAACCTGAACAAAGTAACAATCCCTGTCCCGAAGAACTTAATTTCTAGACTGAATCGACCACTGCTGGGGAGAGAGGACACTCATGGTTTGATTAACAGTCAGTCCTAAGCCTCTCTACAGAGACTGCTAACGAGGGAGCCGTGCGGTGCTCCGGGTCTTACTGCACACATTGCAAATGCACCGAGGAGCAGGCAGAGCTTACAAAAGGGAGAAAATAATAATGAGAGGATCAGAGCATTTTTTTAGCCAGGGCAAAGAGACTTTAGTTACTTATCTTTATTTTCCAGAATATAATAACAGGTTTTTTCCTCCCAGATCTGCACTTAGGAGATTTTTTTCCTCCCCTTTGTTTCTTCTCCTAGCTTTGCATTTTCAAGTCGTAAGTGCCCAGTTGCAGATTCAAGGGCTGAGAGGTCTCTTGCTGTGAAATTCATCACCCACCAAGCTACGACATTTGTTTCCTTCACATTCAGGTTTCCAGCACAGCTTTGATGCTGGGCACACTGAAAAAGTGACGACAGCACACCCTGATGCCTGCTGTACGCAGAACCTGAGACATGAAGGAGATGGGGAAAGTGTAACGTTCACTGCTAATGGTGTTCCTGCTTGTTTTTAATGAAGCTATTGAAAGGCAGCAGGTGGAGAAGAGAAACTAATTTAGCTGTCATCCGGACCGTGGGCAAGAGTCAGACTTGCAGATCAAGGGTGCCCAGCTCTCTAGTTACCGTGCTTCTTAAGACAGGATCAAGATCAGCTGGGGTAAACCAGGTTAAGAGGCATAAGAGCAGCGCAGTGGTTTGTTGGTCAGACCCTGGCACTGAGCTGTACCCACAGGCACGAGGACAATTTGAGTGAAAGGAGTTTATAGACGTGGTATCTGAACGTGGTACCTATTTCTCACCTCACTATCTCAAAGGGAATCACCACAACTGAAAAGACCACGGGGACCGACCGGATCGATACACCGCACCGAGAACAGAATCACACAGCAGAATTCAGAGACCTTCGCCTGCCAGCGCAAGTGCTCTTTAAGAGCTTTACATCCCCTTCAAACAAGAAAATATTTAACCAGTACTAACATCCAGCCTGTCATCTCACAGGTTTCTAGAACATTGATCATTCTTATATTCAAGCTCTGACCAAATTTAACCAGCATTGGGGTCTACCAAAAGAACGCCGGTCTGTTTAAATGGATCTGGTGTGCATTTGGATCTAGTTTCAAAATTTAATTTACACGTTATTTAAAACAAAAATTAGTCGTAAGCACCGTAGCTGCACATCCCCAAAACTATACATTTCTGTGCAGACAGATTATTTGGTGCCACAGTCAGCATGTGTTTATGGTAAATACGTTTTGTACTCTCAGAGGTCCTCCACGGCTGCTGCTAGCATTGATCACCACGAATTATTTTTTGCTGATTTCTCAACTCTGCATGACTAGATGGAGTGCACAAACTGGAAGGGGAATCACAAGATGGTGGGTTTTGTTAGGTTTGTCTTCTTTTGTCCCCTCATTTTTAGATAGGTTTCAAAATTCAGAAAATTCTCATCGTCCTTACTGACTACGACAAAGTATAACTACCACCCAACAGTACCACTTACTATTTTCCAGTCTCCCTTACCTCCATACGCTTATTCTATCACATGGTTCAAACAAAACACGACCCAAACAAGACTGTTGCACAGACAGTGGGACAGATTTTAAAAAATGACCCAAAGCCAATACCGTAGTCCTTCGGCACGACGATGAAGTACAGGCAGACCTGCCCGCTGGTGTAGTTCTGGGGATAACTGGGAGAGAGGACTACGCCGTCGGAGCCCGTGTACTGACCGCCGCAGGGTGCTGGAGGAGAAAGGCAAGAGGAGATGACGGAACGTTCCTGCCTTCAAACAGCCCTTCTGCTGCTGCCGTGAGATCCCCCCGCCACGATCGATTCCTCGCTCCAGGCACCGCGGCTCTCGCTGCAAGTTCTTATTAAGAAAAATAAGGCTTCTCCTAACCCGAGTTCATGCCTGCTTCACATTTAATTATCAAGACCATGGCAAGGCTATGGGATGGCGTGTACGGTGTTGTAACCCACCGTGTGAGTTGCACTGCTCTGCACCCGGCTGTGGAGCTCAGGACCCGACAGAAGGAGCTCCGGCTCTGCGCTTCCTCCTCGGCAGGAGCCCGGCTCCAGCGGGAACAGCCTCCTCCCCACCAGGGATTTCGTTCCCCCAGTCACCACGGACTGACAGCTATCTCTGGACACACTCCCCAGATTAAGGAGGTCCAACTGCAAACTCATCATTTAAACCATTTTCTCGTTAAGCCAGAAAATAAACCAAAAACCCCACAGAACTCCTACGAAAAAACTGTGTTCTGTCAATAAACTCTGACCTGCCCAGGAAAGCACACGCTTAAGAGCTTTATTAGCAGGGATCAGGTTAAGCAAATATTCCCAAATCTCACCTTTCACTAAGGACACAGGATTTGTTGTGCAAATTTGTGTTCTGTCCCGTTTTCTGTCTCTCTCAAAAAAAGGTCCAAAAAAATCTCATTTAAGTCAGCTCTTCCTGACTTCACGGTGTTAAAAAAAAAAATAATTATGAAAAGCTGATAAAAACCAACTCTGATCCCTGCAAGCAGCTCTGTGCATCAAACTTCTGGCGTTAGGATGAACACATCGCTCTCTACTCACCTTTTCCCCCTGGGCCTTACCTGTACAGGTCGGTCGGGGTTTGTTCCACGTGGGTTTTCCATCCGCCCCCATCACACACGTCAGCGTGGAGACCCCTTCGATGTCATACCCTCCGTCGCAGTAGTAGGTAATCGTCGACCCCAGCTTCAGGTCTGTGCCCACTCGTGTGCCATTCTTAACGGAGCCCGGATCGAAGCACGACTCCCGGGGGTTTTCTGCAGGAGAGAAGTGCCCAGGCTGGTCTCATACAGCTGCTCTAACATTTTGGCCAAGGCCTGTTTTGTGGCTTTTCTCATCTGGTAATCTCACCTAAGCATACTGGGAAGACTGCTACTGTTTGCAGAGTTTAGACTGCAAGCATTGTCTCATGCTGCTGAATCTGGGGAATGATACAGGTCAGATTCTGGTCCAGACCGTTCTCTGATGCTCAGCTCCAGCACAAGCATACTGGAAGAAGGCAGGCTTTGGCTCACACATATTTACTGGCACCCAAAATCCAATCAACGAGGCAAAGCTCTGATTTAACTATTGACACTCACTCTCCTTTCCTGCACAGGCTGCAAGGAACTTTGCAAACCAGGGCATAAAACCACAGATTGAACACGCAACATGTTTCAGATGTGCTACATCTGTTCACATTCTCTCCTTGGCACCCATCACTCCCGCACCGAGGAGCTGTCTGCTCTCACCATGGCAATCCGTTGTGCCATGTGCTGGCTGGTTGACTCTCCAGATGTGCAGCATGGCTGCAATTATGGCAAAATGATTACAAGCAGTTAGACAAAATGAAGACATTTTTCTCTGTTCACTATGCCCTGCAGAGTTAAAAACCCCATTTACATATGAAAATTCCAGTAAAGACTACAGAGCTGTCAGGACTTGGATATTTCTTTCCTTTCTTCTTCTGAGGGCTTTTTTCTTTTCCCTTTTTTTTTTTCCTGCATGAAATATAATTAGAGGCTTTGATTAATCCTGCTCTTTTGTCATTTGGAAATTGCTCATTAAAGATGAGGGCTTTTCTGAGAGCAGTGGGTCTGTGAACAATTATAATGTGTTTAAGCATTAAATCATGGGCTTTTAGTATTTGGGGAAAGGGTGGAGGGACAAGTGTAGAGTCCCCAGATTTTGCTTCTGTTTCCTTGTTTGCAGTGAAAAATAGGATTAGCTCTATGGTTTCCTTCACACAACATCTGTACTGTTAGCTAGTGACGCAGGTAAAAGGGGCACAAAGGATGTGAAATGTTTCCACCAGGAACAGCTGCAGTGAACTGCAGAAGTGAGGCCACTGTTTTTTCCTAGAACACCAGTTCCCTATTTTGGGAACCGTGGAGTGGTCAAACCTCAATGCTCCTCACAGACCATCACACACTTGTATCATCAGACTAAGTCGTGAAGTCCTGGGTTCTCCTCTGTCAGTGGTGTTTTGCTACACGAGCTTTGGACAAGCCACTTTTCCTTTGAGCGACCCTGTTCCCCAGCCAAGTCACAAGATGTTCCCCGTTTATCTGATCCTGGGATGGTGTGCCTAAAACCATAATGACTGCAGCACTCAAAAGAGAGCTTTGATACTCAGAACATGATGGAGAAGATTGGGGTTCTAAGACAAACAAGTCAACAAATATCTCATTATTTATTTCATCCCATTATTTCCACGTGTGATCTGACGGTAGGTCCTGCCGAGACACCAGATAAACACAATTCAGAAATCTCCATTATAATGAGTAAGATCAGGACCAAAAAGCTTGTTTCAGTCACGGCACTGGAAAGCAAAGCCCTTGGCTCTCTGGTCAGCTCAGATGAACACATTGCCTCCTCATTCATCCTTATGCTGTGAGACACCCACCGTAGCCACGAGCCTTTGCCGTTACGGCGAGGCGGTGGAATATCCCTGCGTGGACCAGTCATCACAGCCCATGGAGGTGACAGATGGCTCTGGGCATCACCCAGGGCACTGAAGATGAGCAGTGCAGCTGCACGGCCCCAGAGCACACGATGGCACACAAGCCATTTGCAAGTGTAAACACTTCATCTACTTTTTCAAAATATTTTTTCGCTCCTCAAGCTGTTATTTCTCCCCATCGCTACTACGCACTTTTAGACCTTTCCACACAAAAGCTGCGCCCAGCGGCTTCCTTCTGACCACTTGATGCCTCTCGTTATTCCGAGCAGCCTCACTGCCTTTCATCTAAGGAGCTGATGTGGCTCCAGCCCGTCAGTCAGCCTCCCACCCCGCTGCCAGACGCCTTCGCCGTGTGCTTGATCTCAGCCGCTGCTCTTCCTTTGAAAAATCCTGACACTGAGTGCTCCAGTCACACCGTCGACTGCTGAAAAAAGGGGCAGTGGCTGACAGCTGAGCAACAGCCCCACTGCTTTTGTTGCGTTTTCCTCATTCTTGACTGTTTTTCTGTTCCCTGGAGGGTCTGTGCCTTCAGGGACACCACTCACCGCAGAGGACGATGCATCCTGACACACTCGTCCTACGCGTGTCTCCAGCTGAACACACTCCTCTGCAGATGAGCTGCCCCGATGATCCTCAGCAGTGGGCTACAAAGGGAGGCAGCAGCTCAACTTTAAGGAAGTATTTGGTTGCGTGGTGACAGCAAAAGACTCACAGAGGGATGTGGGAAAGCCACAGCTTTCCCAGCCTTTGATTTATTAGGCTATGAAGTGAGTACAGCATCCCTTGCCCATTTAGAATTAATGTTTTCTTTTCACTCAAACACTTCTGAAATCCAGGACTTTACTCTGATGTCCCAATTAACATGGATTCAGGCTGCCAAATGTTTAGAAGAGTCAAGACAAAAATGCCATGAGAACTGGCTCATTAGTCCACAGAAAGCAGAACTTTGTGTTTCCCCTCTCCTTTCCCAAGGAAAACTCAAAGGCTGCATGAGCTCCTGGACCAGGAGGTCGGGCTTTCATCTGCATGTTCAAGAACAGCTTCACCGGAGAGCGGCTGCCCAAGGGCAGAACTCCAGATCCATGAACACGTGAAATTGTCCAGAAGACAGGTTTTTTTTCACAACAATCATCACTTACTGCAGATAGGAGAAGTTCTATTGGGATTTTGAAGGCTGGTCCAGCCCGGGCACCCCGAGCTGCTCGGCCAGAGCCCAGCATCCCTGCTCATCCCAGCCAAAGGGACTGCCTTTTCCAAAGCACAGATCGGTTTTCCAAATGCAGGATGTTTTAGGGTCAAGCATCACCTCCTGTTTCTGACTGTTCTAGCAGCAAACAGTACTGGATGTTTTTAAACAGTTTGCTTCACAATGGATTTTATAGAACAGTCTTTCTGCGGGGAATTGCTGCCTTAAATAACCCATAAGTAATGCTGAATGTATGTTTATAAGCTCAGGATGGGCAAAATACTTCTAGTGAAATAATAACAGATTCGCAATAAGGCTTTGGGGTTGGGTTTTTTTCCCATTCCTTTGGAAGGGTGAAAAGTAATCAGTTTTGCTTCATTTGTTTTCAATTTCACGCCTCTGCACTCCTGGCCCACAACAGAAACAGGAAGCACAAAAAAGCGTGAGAAAACCACCGGCACTGGAGCATCCGACCTGGAAACTCCATCCTACCCTCCGCCCCAGGCATGAGGAGCCAAAGCTGAACGTGCACCTTCGGTCCCGTTTGGGTGGTGGCAGCCACTGACGGAGCGTGACACCTGCTGCTGTGCCAACAGGTCCCCAACACTCACAAAATATAGGGGCGGGGGGAATAATTTGGGAAAAGCTCTCCAAACGACTAGCCTGCCCTTTATGTTACTAACAAAGCGTGGTCTCGATTTAAAAACACGAGTCTATGAATACACAGAATGTCTCAAAATGTGGTCTCCAAGATGCGGCAGTGCAAACTGATTATTGGAATTCAGTTGATTTCCCAATGAGAAAAGATAATCTTCACTTTAGAGATTCATCCCCGGCCAAATTTAAGAGAGTTTCTGGCAGCGGTTTCTGGCGGTGGCAGTTTAATGGAAGCCCTTCATAGCAAAGCGTCTTTTAAATTGACTGGAAACAGTTTTTGAAACTTATCCAGTGCTGCTGAGTAAGCAGAAATCTCCCAAGTATCACCAAGACACACGAGTATCATCTTGGTTCAAAAGTTAATACATGTAGAGATATTGAGTTAAAAACCTTAGTTTTCTGTAGCTGAAACAATTAAAAAATTCCTAAGCAACAACTGGAACAGGAGGTAAATTCTAGGTATGTTGCAGAGCATCTCTTTCCTGTCTTTAAGCTTTTGTTTTGCAATGGTCCATCCTATTTTGTATTCAAGAACTTGACCCTTTTGCTCTGTTAGACTAATACTTGTTGGGCTCAAGTGGACCTGCTCCAAACACAGCCCGCTGCTTCCACAGAAACGCCAACGTTAACTGAGCTGGTGTTGCAAGCAAGCACTTGGTAAGAGTTGTGATAACTCCAACACGCTTCAACGGGATGCCTGAGCAGAGCACGTCTTCCTATTCAGGAACCAGCCTGAACCCCAAAATCTACTCCCTACTAAGTCACCCCAAGAATAAATTCCTCCCCAGCTGAAATCCCAAACTATTGGAGTTAAGTTTCACCTGACCCTGTGAATCAATCCGAGGCTTTATGCAGGCAGCAAACCAAACCCCTGTAAATTTAAGCCTGTGTGGGGAACACACACTCCCAGTTTCTTTGCTGGTAACCTTAGCTTGATTTTTCATTCTGCTGCACAGCTGACAGTGCAGCACGGGTGCAAAGCCAAAGATAAGAGTTCATCTACCAGAAACCCTGCTGCTGTACTGCATCCGTGTAGCTACGCTGGGAAATTGCCCGAAGATGTGCCCTCCAACACCTTCCCGTGGCATTGCCGCCTTCCCCCTTCACTCCTGCTGTCATGCTCTATGCAAAAACTGGCCTAATAAAAGCCAAATTCATTCTTCTCTGTTTTCTCCATTCCTCCTGGCCCCAGAGGACAACTTTCTCTTGAAGAGCCATTGCCCCCGAAACAATTTCAAATGAAGTGCTGAGGCTGTTTGAAATTCACCCAACACACCGTAGCTGCAGGCTCGTGATGCAGTCCCAGTCCCAGAGAAGATCCAGGGTTTCAAGGAGGGACTGACAGATGGCTGCTTTGGGTTTTTCTTCCCCAAAAAGAAGAGGCTGCCCAGGGAGGTGGTTGAGTCCCCATCCCTGGATGTGTTTAAGAATAGGGTGGATGATCTACTTGGGGATATGGTTTAAGGGGGATTAGGGATGGTTGGACTCGATGATCTCTAAGGTCTTTTCCAACCTAGAAATCTACGAAATCTATGAAATCTATGAAACATTACCAAAAGAGGACTACAAAGCCCCTGGTAATTAACAGTATTTCGCACATAGCTGACATAGGCGATGGATGGTGCTCAGGGAGTTGGGGCAGAAGCCCCCATGGGCTGCAGCACTGACCAAACACGACAAGGTGGGGGAGAGATGACAATGGTGCCTTTGAACTGTACTTGGGATCCCACCTCGGCCAGGAGCCGAGCTCGGGATCTGATTTTCTTTCACGCACGCTTCCTCCTGCCTTTCTTTTCTTCTTCCTTCGATTCCCCAAAGTTCTATTTTCTGCTGCTTCTCAGACTTGAATCTCAGGTTCCTTTTAAAGCATGGGGAAATTAATGAGTAAACTGAAAGCCTCATTCTTTTCTCCCAGCAGTTTGGCTTTGTGGGAAGTACGTAGGCGCGATTAACACCGTAGGAGTGTTTAGGAGAAAAACGTATCACACAACCACCCTAATTTAATGAGATTTCATTAGTTAACTACTTTCTGGCTGCCCAAAAAGAGGAAAAGAAGAAAACCCAGGACTCGGTTTTCAGTAAAATTAATTCTAATGAGAGCAGAAAACATTTAATCTCTTGAATCTTAAGCAGCACTGTCTTTTGTCTTATTATTTCATAACTTTACTGGAGGGAAATTCAGCATAACTAACAGGAATTGCCATTTCACTGCCATTTAACCTTCGGTCAGGGAAATTCAAAAGCAGGAATCACGGACTGCAGACAGGGTATAGGGAAGAGAGAATTGCCTGAGCACACAGCAGCCCTGTAAACACAGCAGCAGCCCATCAGTTCTCCAGCACGAGCCGTTACTGCTCCCACAGCACACGGGGGGCCCAAGGAGGCTCAGCAGCCCGTTTCACAGCGTGCACCACGGATGCAAAGCCATGTTTCACAGTGGCACACATCCCGTACATCTGAAGCCATCAACGCTTTTTTCCCCCCATACTGCAAACTAGTCCATATAGGCCAGAGCAGGCTTGAAGAATTCTTTCTAGTCCTGTGGTTTTTCCCCAGTTTTTAAACCTTTCTCCATTCTGCACAATCCTGGCTCATCAGATCCAGCTTTTCAGACCGTATTTTTTTACTACAGTTTATAACAACTCCATTCTTCCACCTCCCCTGTACACAAACAAGGAACACGCTGTGCCAAAGCCTCCCTTTTTCTCCCCACCTCCCTGAACAGCAGTGCCAGCTCCGTCACTTCTCAGTTTGCTCCATCAACAGAGAGCTAAAAGCATCCAGGGAAAACTCTACCACTGCCCCTGTTTCTCACCATTAGAGCTGAAGCCACCAAAACGTTTTACTACTTCTTCAAGCAAGCAAAAAAAAAAAAAAAGACAGTTCTAATAACACAGATACCTGTGAACTATTCTGATCAATTTACTAATTATTAGTGAATTAGTAGATTCTTTAGAATCTTAAGTTAAGCAAAATGCACAGATTTCAGGAGAGTTTCACCTCGGTGACCCTCACCTCCAGACCCAGCCACTCGATCACTTCGTACGCTACTGAACGGCAGCATCAAGAGTTCAGACCGAGATCCCATATGGCACATGCATGTCTGCACCGCCTTCTCTTGGACAAAACCGCTCTCCCCACTAAGAATAAATCTTAAATCCATGGCAACATGGAGCATTCCTAATAACCAGTTGACAGTTCAGCACTCTCTAGTACTCCGAAAGCTCAAATCTGCAATGAAGTGGTATGTTCCGCTCACTAAAACGACAAACTAGTTAAATTCAGTGTGGAGCAAGAAAGATCACACGGAATATAGCCTGTACATAAAAATGTATTTTCTGGGAATCTCCCTTGCTTTTCCTTAAAGGAAAAAAATAAACAACAAACAAGTAAAAAACTTTATTACTCAAAGCCTCACACAGAAGTAGCCACATGTGACTGATCCTCAGTCCCATAACAGTCCTTTTATGCTGCTCTTAGCTTACATACCCCGGCTCATTCCCCCCCAACCCCCAATTCTCCCTCCCATGCCTCTTCAGCAGCTTCGCTGGTAGCACAACAGGCAGCAGCATTACTGCCTGAAGACAGGCTTCCACAGATCCCAGAGCTTCTCCCATTTGGTTCAGCTGGGGGTGGTGTAACCTGACAAGTGGAGGTAAAATCCCGGGTATTTGCTGAGCCAGCTGAGCCCGGTGCACCCGGACAGCTCTTACCTGTGTAGTCAATGACAAATCCGGCGTTGCTGACTGATGCATCGCTTCGGAAAGCGAGGAAGAGGCTGTTACTGCTGCTCTCTATCCTCTCGGGCAGCTGGGAGCCATAAAAGCTTCCGATCAGGGGGCTGAGGGAATCGGGTCCATCGTAGATATGAAGGAAATCATAGCCAGGCTCCAAGCTGAAGCTGCAACGCCACAGGAAAAGCGCTGGAGGTATGAGCATGGTACAGCAGCCTGTGGTCTCGATGGGCTGTACAGCTACATAGCTGAGAGGCTGGTCCTGCCCCAGAACACCTCCCCCACCCG